GGCGTTGCGGACTAGAATAGGGCGGCTCTGCTGGTTATCCTGTCCCGCTACCAGCACTTGGAGGTGTTAGGGCTTTGCCAGATATGCACGCTGTTGCCAGTCTCAGGCCGGTGCCGGCGCAGCTTGCGGCTAGCAGGCCAGGTGAGGACAGCCTGATTTCAACGTTGTGAGGCCCAGATCGACCCCACTTGACCGATCGCGGAACGTTACCCGCTCCCTCCCTGCTGTAGTTGGCGCCAGGCGATGCCGGCGAACGTTCCGATGCAGAGCCCGCCAGGACGACGTGCTGGCCAATGAGCCTGAAATAAAGCTGGTGAGGCACCGCCGCCAGCGAGCGCCGCGGCAAGGCGTCGCTGCCGCATCCAGCACAGCCTTGTGCAGATTTGGAGTTGGTTGTTGGCAGGGCAGCAGCCTAATGCAGGGTGCCTCTGCTGCCGCCTCCTCCCTTGCACCTCCCTCCCTCCCGCTCTGAGGCCACTGCTGCCGCGTGCAGGTCAATGGCGCGGTCACCTCTGGCCCCAGCTTGGCGGTGGAGGTCAATGGCTTGAAGCTGCCAAACCCTTTTGTCATTGGGTCGGGGCCGCCGGGTACCAACTATGCGGTGATGAAGAAGGCGTTTGAGGAGGGGTGGGGCGCTGTGATTGCCAAGACCGTGAGCTTGGACAGCAGCAAGGTGAGGGCCAATGCGCCACAGCGTGGTGCATTGCCATGTTGCTGCCCGCACATCCGCTCATGCTGCCCCTCCATGCCGCATGCCGCCCCCCGCAGGTGATCAACGTCACTCCGCGGTGAGCCTCCCTGTCTGTGCTGGTGCCTTCCTAGGCAGCCCTGGGGTCCAGCCCTGCATTCCCTATCGCCACCCCATCCCCACGAAGCGCGTATCCAGCCTTTGCCTGTGGTCCCGCCATGCCCCCTTCCCCGCAAGATTGCAGGTATGCCAAGATGAAGAGCAGCGACGGCAAGGAGGTGATTGGCTGGGAGAACATCGAGCTCATCAATC